CTTACCACCTCCATCACCCTCCTTTCGATGGCTTGGTTTGGGGGACGACTCAGCATCCTCCCTTGCCTTCCTCTCTCGGGCAAGGCGGTCGATTTCTTGGTTCCTTCTCCATCGTCCGATATCGGAATCTTCGTCGCTGATTTCGGACTGGTACGAATTCCATGCCCTTCTTCTGGCCTCCAGATCGGTTCCTGCACGCTGGGCGGCCCCAGAGTATCGGAGGGCTGCAGTGCCCATTCTTCGCTCGACCTCAGCGGCGGTTGTGTCGGGTTCGAGGGGAAGGTCCCAGAGGCCGTCGGGTCCCTGGAGGGCGTCCATTTCTGCTCGACGGATGCGTGCATCATTCGCTCTTGCTCGGTCCAATCAGGTCTGGATTTCTGGGGCGAGCCTGGCATCTCTAGGGAGTCGGAGGGACTCGATGAGCGTGTGGTAGAGAAGAGGCCACAGACGCTGGTTGAGCAGGACGGGGTCGGCGAAGGCTCGACCCACGACTGACAAGGTAAAATCAGGGACTCAGGCGAGCTCCCCAGCCCCGGCAATTGTTCCAAGTTCCACGGCGTTGTAGTCAGGGAACTCACTCCAGAGCTCCCGATCCTCCTGCTCGTGCGGGGGGACGGCGGGAGCGAGCATGTGGGCCATGGTCCACCCTCGTGAGGGACCGGCCTTGGGCTGGTTGGATGGGTCTCTGGCCATAGGAGCTTCTTCCCTTGTGTCTGCGTAGACCCAACTTGTACGGGGGTACCAGGCGACTGGCTCTCCTCGGTTAGGTGGCCAAGAAGTTGGAATGGGCCTTGTTCCATTTGTATGGGCGGTAGTAGCGGTGGAGGCCCCAAGGGCAAGCTCTCCGGAATCTTCGTCGAGGTCATCTCCGTGGTTGCCTCCTGACCTTGCGAGCCTTGCTCTGTCCCTCGCGTCTTCCATGGGGAGTCCGCCCTTGATTTCCCTTTGGGCCCACTCGTCTCCGGGATTGGGGTCAGAGTCTTTTTCTTCCCCGTCATTCTCGAGGAGGTTGTGGAGTCTGCGTCCTTCTTCATACCAGAGGTCGAGAATGCTTTCTTCGCCTGACCCCACATTCCCTCCTTCTCCGTACTTGTCAGTGTCTGACTCGCGGTGGATGGGAGACTGGTCGAAGAGACCTGGTACAGGCGAGTCTCCTTGCTCGTAGAGTACGCCCCAGGTATCGGTGATGTTGACTGACTCTGTGGTAGCGCTTCTGTAGGAGTCGGTGCTCGACTCGGAGGATCCCGAGTTGGATCGTGACGATGCGTAGAGGGACTCTCCAGGTCCTCTGGGTGTGATGGGTCGTCCATTGTGAAGGGTTTGTTGGGATGCTGCGGGGATATAGATTACCGGCAGGGGGTAGGCCGGGGTTACCGGCACGTAATGAAAAGGTAGTTGAGCCCAGACTCGTCTTTGTTGCCGGCAGCACCGGTGAATCTGGTATATAGAGATGGACAAGAAAAAGAGTATAAAAACGGCGGAGATTGCAGGAATGGCATTGGATAAGGGCATCCATACGTGAGTCTATCCTTCGAAGAGTCCGACGGTTACGATTAACCATGCAACGGTTAGGATAGGATAGAGCTCGTTAGTCGTGATCAGCACTATGATTGTCGAGATCGCGACTATTTGTATGATGACTATAATCGGCGACAGGTTGGATGGTGGTGGCAGGCTCCTCTCTTAAATCCTCAAGTAACCAGTCCAGGCTACAAGGAGAAGAGCTGCTAGGATCAGGGCCGAGATATAGTTCTGGAGGAGTAACACTCGTAGTATGGTGACCAGAACCAAAAGGATTGGGTCATGCAGTGTGAAAGGCACTATCCAAACCAACACGGCAAGGAGGAGTAAGAATGGGAAAATGTTGGGCAGTGTGTAACGTCGAGCAACATAGGACAAGCTTCAGCTAAATGTTAGCCACCAACTCGAGTCGACTTAGATCAAGCTAGGATCACTACTCGCACTTCGGTAGATGATACTCTAGCAGGTCAAAGGCGATGGCAAGCTGATTGCGAACAAGATAGTTGTGAAGCGGGGAGTTCAATGTTGGGTAGATTAAACCTTAGCCGAAGCTGGGGTTTAGACCAGCTGAGGCTCTACTTAAATACACGTGGATAAACTAATAATAGTACTGTGGGAACGTGTCTGTTGTGATCACATATGAGTAATCAAGCTGAGTCAAGCGGAGAAAAAAGGAAAAAAATGAATAAACCATAACATAAGGCTTGTTTCGGCTCCTTTATCTTGACGGCCATTACAGGTCTCAATATTCGCAGCCAGACAGTGATATCGAGGTCATTGACGAACGGGAACGAAATTCCTGACAAAAACATTGAATACAGAAAAACGAGAGTGAGAGATAGCTCTATTCGGTTACGCGAAGTTCATATGTAGTGGATGTCGAATAATCACAGCTCCATTTCGACAGGCAGTTATATACCTGGCCATGTTAACTGCAGCTGTCGTTCCATACTGAAAACTTAATGTTAAATATGGCAAGTCACAAGTTGTGCACAAAGCTCACAGTCAACAAACGTCGACCGATACAGCGCCCTACTAGCTTATTCCCCCAGCTAGAGATGGTCTGGAACAATTTGCCCGCAATTGACTTGGCCATAACATGTCAGTGAAAAGGTCGATTATACCTCGAATTCTTTCGAGATAAAGTTCAGATTCCCAAGCTGCCATTCTAGAAATACACTGTCAGGAACAAAAACCGTGAGCTTATACTGTGCCATATCAGGTAACGGGTCACGCATGGTAACGGGTCAACCGCTCATATCTCGACGACTATGGTACCTTTTCATGAGCAGTTTTTTTCAGGTTGGAGGTTGGGCTATCTGGCATCTATGTACAAGAGCTTTTGTTCTTTCATCTTAAATTTCCCTCTCAATAATTTTTTTGATCTGAGAAAAATGTCAAATTGCCATTTGCAAGCAACTTCATGCAAACAAGGCCGTTTTTCACCCGTTATCACAGTCATACACTTCCACAATGTAATTCAGGATCATAGCTTACTTTATGGATGCTCCTGGAGAGGATAACAGCATAACAGTAAGGATAGTTTGCTTTAAATTATGTAAAATACTGGTTGACCCGTTTCCATGCTTTTGAGACCATCAATTAGGAAAATATTCATAGTGTAAGAAGCTCCCTTTCATACAGGCTCAAAACCTCATACAATAATAGAACAGATATTTCTCTTATTACAAGTGGTGACTAACATGGGACAATTGTGATGCTAGATTTTTTACAGTTAAAACAAACTAGTTCGGCCCACTTCCCGGTCAGGCACAGTATATCTCCACTGGGCCCTTATTGAGACCTACCGCTAGAAATGGGAGAACAAACTAGATGATGTGGCAAAATAAGCATGGCATGGTTGTGTCGTGGGATTGGTCCTCCCAATGGCAAGTCTTGGAAAGGGTTCCACAGTTGGTATAGAATAGGTCGGCGTGTACTGATATTCGCAACCCCGACATTGGAATATGGTTCTGAAGCTAACAATTCTATCTTGAATTGTCAGTCGATGCTTAAATGTCAACGCATCGGGTGCGACTTACTTCAGAATCTATTATTCCCGTCTCGAGAACCTGAAAAGGAAGCATCTCACCTTCATCCTCTCTTCCCACAGGGAGTGATGACTCGGAAGTCTGTCTGAGTCGTACACGCATTTTTGAACAACAGTTATCAGCCTGGTTGAGGTTTATGAGTAAATATTATATGAAGAACAAACACCACGGACGTGTACTTTAAACGGAAGCCCGTGCGTAGAGAGAATCTTTAAGTACGATGCCTTGGAGGAAGGAAGGAATTTGGAAATTGTTTTTGACCCATCGCGGCTCGGCAGCGCGGCATGAAGCAAGTCCGAGGAGGCATCTCGGCATAGTCATCTACTACCCTCTCTCTGACCATCATCCTATTCTAACGCTTCGTCTCGCTATTCCCCCGCTAGAATTTTCGCTACTTCAAAGCACTGCTTCGGGCCTAATTCAGGATGATATTATTTACTCTTACATCCCTGGAGTTACGTGATAAGTTATATTTCCGATTCGGGGGGAGTCTTATCGTTGCCAGCGCTGTTCTTCCTGAAATTTGGCTTTCACGTACGCGACTTTCTCCATGAACAACAAATGCATTCAATAACATTATGCCTTCGTTCATCGTCATTTACGCTCCTAGGCGCAGCTGTGTTGGATAAGATCCCTCGAAGGATGTAGGACGAGATTCAACAGGCGGGGAATCTGAATCCGACTCCGCTTTGGGTTCGCCCTTCCGTGACCATAGCCTCATGCTGCGACTAGTACTGACGTGCTGTATGCCGCAATCGTACTTCTATTGTCTGTGAGATTCAGGGTGCCACTTAAGGAGAAGCGGTGTGTACAACTCATTGATCCGCAGTACGCGATATCCAAGGCTTTTACAGCATGAAGATGGAAATGTTTAATGGGGTGACTTCTAAAGCCACTTAGCTAGGTCATGCGACGATCTCCCCTCGGCTCGTAACTCAGCTAATCTATACTGGGATCACACCTTACAGAAACTGTAAACTCTGTCTCTGCATCCTTCATCCGATCTAAACCAACCTCGAAACAGACCACTTCCAGGCAATCGCATTCGTTGTGATATACAGCTAACTCTATCTAGGAATGGGCTCGCCTTCGAGTCAACTCGGGTCTACCGAACGCGGCGCACATCCTTATCCCGTGCTGTTGCCGTCTGATTAGATGCTTTCATTCATTTCTGCTGTTGCCTGCGTATTACAGCACTCTTACTCTGGGGACCTATATCACTCTGTGGAGGACAGAGAATGCACTGGTGGAAAGTACACTCCCCGCATTCCATGATCTCAGAACCCACTGCTTGTTACTCACTACTGGCCGTCATCTGGAAGGAAGAGGGACAGTACAACTCGTGAGGTTTCCTGTCTGGCTTGAGGACAAATTCCCAGTCTTATGAAACCTTCACCTCTCAGCCCAAGATTGCCACCGAACATTCCAATGCCTTCTGCCGGAGCAGGGTTACCATCTACAAGTTCCACGCCTAACATGGAGGAACCAGCCGACATGACGACTGTGGTTTCAACAACGACTATTTCTGAATCAGAGTCGTTCGTCCTCTTCAATTTATTTCCTCATTAAGCGCGCTAACAAAAGGTAGCACTACCAGTCTAGTGGTCCAGGCATCACCCGTTTCCTCTGATCCTCCAACATCAGCTCATAGGCTTGTGATCCTGGGGACTGTGATCGGCATCATTGTTTTGGTATCCTTACTCCTAATCCTCGTGGTTTTCCTCCTCCGACGGCGGAAAACGCAGGAGAAGAATACCGATAGGGAATCGCAGATTCTAGAGCCATACTGTCAGGACAAGGTTTCTTGTGTTACGCCGTGTCAAGGGTCTCCTGTGAGTCAGGACCAGGGGGAAGTGGTCTGTGATAGGGCGAGACTTGAGGAGTTGGAGTCGACTGTTCAGCTTCTCTTGAACCGGCAGAGACAGTCAGCAGTAGTGTCGGAAATGGAACATGATCCTCCGCCTGATTATGCGTCAACGAGGCCAAGTCTTAGCGTTGATAGGACTGGCCGTAGGATCTCTACGAATTCCGGTTGACGGGCTGTTCAGTTTGGTGTTTGGAGTGGTGGAAGATGCCCGGTTCACCAAAGGGCCATTCGACAGGCGTAGACTAATCCAAAAATTCTCTCGAGATTTTGTAGGAGAATTAAATGAATTATCTCCCTGTCGTCACAAGTACATCCTAGCATAACATTTTCAAACGCAACGTAAGGAAAGAGGCCAGAAATCATTATCGATTTTCGAGATTTCAGTTTGAACTGATGAGCGTTAAGAGCGAGAACAGCTACGACGTCACTGTCTTTTACGCGACCCGTCCAAAGTAGCGCAAACAAAGACGCGTCCTTTCTCTCCGACCACCACCACTCCGCTCACCTTCCTTCTAACCTTTCTCTTTTACCTATCCCACATCTGAAATGCGAAGAACGTGAGTCACTGTGCTCATACACCCACCGCCGCTTGAAGCTGATGTACTCTTGAATCGACTCAATTTAGTGACGGTCCAGCAATCCCGGCATAATGATTACGGGTCTCGACGTGGGTCTTCCTTCGGTGGGGCCGTGGTAATTTAGTTGATGGGCGAGCTTGACTGAAGGTACTGTTGAAGCCTGATGAGCGCACCTTGACTCGTAGGCGGATACGATAACGTGTGTGCTTTCCTTGATCCACCTCCTTCTAATACAGCTGACATGAATCTGAAGTCGACAAGCTGTCTCAAATCGATCCAAGCATTGGCTCGCCGTCACTCCAATTACGTATACCCTTAACCTGCCAACCTAGTTCGAGGACCATTGGTATTTCGCTCATCAACGCGTCCATAAGGTAAATATCTTCAGCTCCAAGACAAGGACTATTCTGAGAAAAACGCCTAGGTTATGCCATTGGACATGACGATGCTAGAAGGACGGTTTTCTCTACAAAAAAGAGGGTGACCACGGTAGGATGAAGGACCGCGGATGCATCCGTGGGTGATGCGAGAAGATTACGCGGAGGTAGGGTGTCGGTTGACGAAGCTGTCCGGAGATAGAGCTTTTGCGGGGATACTGAAATAGGTCTGCTTCCGCACCAAAATGCATATAATTTGATCGGAAATTTTCCAAAAACAATTCAAGGCATGTCTTAGAATTGCATTCTCACCACGTTACCTTTCTCCCATTTTCTTTCCTTATTTCCTGTATATCTGTTTTATTTTCGCCTTCTCGGTACCGAGCTGAATACGCCAGGTTCACAAGAACCCGCACTCAGTGGTGTACGCGCTCTTTCGCTGGTGTTACTCTTACCAAGTCTACACAATGGGTGCATGCTTGTCCTCTCATCGCTTCCAGGTCACGGATGCAGATATCGCTTTGCATAGAGAAGCCGAGAAGGAACTCAAGGAGGTACGTTTGTTGTCGAATTGAATGTATGCAACCATAAGGGCAAGTGACTGCCAGGCCAAGGCAAAATTGGCGATCCAAGTTAAGGTATGTGTTCCCAAACACCGTCCATATCTCTTCTTCAATATCGCCCGCTTAGGTCTTGCTCTTGGGATCTGGGGATTCTGGAAAGTCAACTGTGCTGAAGGTGCGCATACATCTCTCATAGCACACAGCACTCATCCTATGTGATAGCAAATGCGCCTCATCCACAAAATCCCCTTTTCACCACAAGAAATCGAGTGGTACCGGCAGCTCACATTTGACAACCTCACCGGCGGCTTAAAGTGTATCCTCGATGCGATGGAAGACATGGATCTCAAGGTTTCGGAGGACAACATTGAATATATCGATGTCATTTACAATGCGCGGTACTTGAGGGACGGAGAGCCGTTCCCTTTGGAATATTATGGGCCACTCAAGGCGCTGTGGGCAGACGCTGGCGCTCGCAAAGCATGGCGGAGAGGGAACGAAGCAGCCTTGCCCGAAAAGTATGTCTGCCATCTTTTCACTTGTTGATGTCTTCTCACAAAGGCTAGCTTGGATTATTTCTTCTCGGATCTAAATCGCCTGTTCGATCCTCTATATCAGCCAACGGAGCAGGATATCATACGTTGCCGTGCTCGGACTATTGGTATCAAGGAAACGGTCTTTTCTCTACGGGAACGCGAGCTTACCATGGTCGATGTCGGGGGACAGAAATCCGAACGTCGGAAATGGATACATTGTTTCCAGGATGTGACAAGCATCTTGTTCCTCGTTAGTTTGAGTGGGTACGATCAGTGTCTGGTGGAGGATAAGGATGCTGTAAGTGATTAGCTTTGATCTTTCGCAGACGCCGTGCTGACTTGATCTGATCTGATAGAACCAGATGCAGGATGCTATGACGATATGGGACTCCATATGTCATTCCCAGTGGTTCAAGTACACTTCGATCGTACGTACGACCCTCCCTGACACCCACCCACTTACTCAGCCGAGATTTGACCGTTTTTTAGATCTTGTTTTTGAACAAAAATGACCTCTTCGAAAAGAAGGTACCTCATTCTGATATCAAAAACTTCTTCCCAGTACGTGAAGCCTTCTCCCGCGCGCGTGTGCATTCTTCTCTCTCTCGTGACTCATCCGTCCATCATTAGGACTTTGATGGTGATGTTGGTGATGTCCGTGCAGGCCGAGATTACTTCAGGCGACGTTTTTCGAAATTGGCGACTAAGGCTCGTCGACATAAGGAGAGGGAGATTTATATACAGTAAGTTGTTGTTCAGCGTGGGTTTGGTTGAACGATGGTGCTGATGTGTATCAGTATAACGACAGCGACTGATATCGCCATGCTTCGGGTCGTGATGGCTGCTGTGGAAGGTACGTTGCGTTCTATTCAGTTTGGATTTATATCAATCGTTGACGTTCGCCCTTTTTTCCCTTTCAGAGTGAGTGCCCTTTTCCCCCGTTCCTTCCTCGCCCATTTTGTCTTCGACTCAATCTTCTCCTATCGCCTTTTCCCTCCCACTCTTTTCTGTCTAGTGTCATTCTGCGGATCAACCTTGCCACTGCGAAGTTGGTCTGAGCATCGGCCTCGCCTTTTCATTCATTTTTTTGTTTTTACACGATCTGACTTGTACTTTTTCTCACCGTCATATGTTGATACCCAGTTCAATTATGTCTGGTAATGTAAGTCCCTTTCTCCTGTCGTGTGATGATCCCATCTGATTTTCGGACAGATCCGTGATGCTCTGCTTTGATTTGTTATCCTATATCCATTCACTTTCTGTACTATCATTATGAGATCCTACGACTATCATTACGTTCGAAATTCATAATTCTAATCGTTTATTCACACTCGGACGTGCGACCCACAAAGAGTTCGGATAACACTGACCTTACGATTGGACTGCCGGATGGTGTCGTGGAGCTACCACCATAGGGCGGTGACCCATACACGCAGCACGGAGCTTTCATGTGTTGGTGTTGACGAGGATACATTGATGACATGTCCGTCTCTTCCTCCTCGATGATATCAAGTACCAGCGGCACAACGACAGCATCTAATACCATTGGCTAACCGGCCTCGTCCTCGAGCACGGCTTGAGGCGAGAAGAGCCATGGTTCACCCCTTGGGGACTCCTACTACTCCTTCTCTCTGGACGTAACGTTTGGTCGGGGTCACTCTCATTACCCCTCCGCGTCGTCGTGTTAAGCGTGAATTAAGGAGTTTCTTTGATGAACCTTTGATGAACTGTCGACGCATCAGGCTCACTGGACAAGAAAATCAGCGCAACTCTCTGGCGTTGGCAAAAGGAGATCTTCCTCGGTGGGCATTGGTGGCACGGGGTAGTATCACCGCCTCTGCTTGAGCATCCGGCGTTACTAGTACCATGGCTGCCATTGTCTTGTAACTTTGGGTAGGTCAATTCCAGGATGTACCACAATAACTCTGTCTCATCTGGAGCGAGGGAGAAGTATGAAGCATTGAATTTTTTTTTTCGTGCACCACGGTATTTACCAAAATCATTCTTTCCTGTACACTCGCAGCACTTGAATCATATTCAGGTAGATAGTCTTGGTGCAGGACGAGCGCATTTGCTGATCACAACCAGGTTGTGAGTCTGACTTTTGCCGAATACTTACCGGAATTCATGCTCGCTGCCTACCTTGATCAAAATCAATCGTTGCTCCTGAATGTCCTTCCGTTTCCTCACTGCGATATCGAGTACAATGATTTATCGAATCGTGTCTATATCCAAATTAGGTGTGTTAATTACGGAAATTTAACGCATACAACGTTTAGGAGGGACTATCAACATATCGCCAATCCTACGCGGTTCATATCGGAGCCTGTCAGGTGGGATGTTGACAGTCGCGTATGACGCATTCACTACCGCACAAGTACACGAGAGGAAATCATTGAATGACATCTGCAACTCGTCAAGGCCTTCGATAAGGAAGGGAGCGAATTTGCTGTCGTCGCCCCCAAAGTTCCAAGATTCCACGCGCTCGATGTCTGTGCAAATTTAGGTTCAGTGAAGGTGCAACAGACACAATAGAGTAGTATACCAAGCCTGCATATCTTTCCCGAGGGAGGCCGGATTGTGAAATACGCGATATCAGGGAGCTGAGGATCTGTGGCAGTACCATTCAGAAATACCACGCCAATTATTCCACCAAAGACGGCCGTTTCCAACTGATATCCATAGTCGGCTAGGGAATCCTCCGTAACCTTGAGTTGCACAAAGCAATACGAAAGCTGCTGATCACCCAGGTGATACTTCTTTCCGATGACGTGCGCTAGCCCATGAACAAGCAGAACCATGGCAAGGAAACGCGTCCCCGGGGAGCCTCGTTCCAGGGCTGAAGTGATTCGTGCATCGATGCGGATATTAGAATTTAGGGAGCCTAGGGGGAACCAATCGTTTGGTTCGACGAGGACGACACGCGGGAACGACTTGATTAGATATGATAGTCCTGCTTCCTTTTTCTCCTAGATGGCGGGGTCAGAAGATATTATGGGGAGAAGCAGTTTATGTCTTTGAGAAGATGTGATGCTCTCTCGAAGGCGGGATGCCAATTGGGCGATATGAGAAGAATCGGGATGTTGGTTTTGCATGGTAACTGAAGATGGAGAAGCCCAGCCGTTATATAGACACGGTGATGTCAAAATAACTGTAAATACGAACCGTCATTTCTTCCCATCAACAGAAGCATATGGCTGTCTGTCTATGAGAGACCGCGCATCGGATAGTAATGTAATCATGAAGATAGCACCGCAGTTAAGCGCCGATGTAGTAGGTAGAGCAAGAAACACAGCCAACAGCCAAGGTGTCGATTCCATCATGTAAAGCTTACGCTGTCCGATTCCTGCAGAGAATTCTGAAACGATTCTTGAATAGAAGTATGGAATAATTATCCACATCGAGAGTCGCAACACGAATACTTAGCACAACAATATGTCACAAAAGAAACCGCGAGAACGCCGAACCATCGTTCATCAGCCTCTACACGGCATGGCACGAAACCTCGTCCTCAACCCATGGACATTCTCCTCCTGAAACAGCTTCCTTATCTCCTCGTAGTACCACGGCCTGACATCCAAATTCCTCAACCCCTTCCCTTTCGTCCTCCTAACCATCCTCAACAACCCCTCAAACGCTTTCACACAGTGTGTGACACGCAAGTCTTCCAGACAGGGAAGAATCGTCGAACCCAGCGCATCGTACAGGCTCTCGTCGGTTACCACTAGGTTTAAGCGAGTAATGGGGTACGAGAGGAGTCTGGCGAATGACATGATGTGGATGGCATCCCGGAAGACTAGCGTGCCCAGATCTGGACATTGGAGATGGTTCAGTATATTGATCTCGCTTGGGCTATAGACAAGTCGAAGATCACGGGATCTGCAACCCAGCTTGAGCGTGTGAAGCGCAGGGAAGGAGATATATGCGAGGGTCTCGGGTATTTGGGTAGGGAGATCGAGCTGAAGCAGGTTGCTGGTTATGCTTGTATTGGGTTGCTCATCGATGACGGAACCCTGTCGATAGCGGACTCGAAGAGAGGTGAGCTGGTTGGCGTGTTTGAGAAGAGTGATGAGTTGGGTAGAGTGGTCGATGGTGCATTCTAGATGGCGGAGGAAAGGGAAGGAGATAAAAGGTATGTCGTGGAATGCGCCAATACGAAGGGTACGTAGGCAAGGTGCCTGGAGAGAGGACGACAGTGTTGAGAAATCACGTAACACGAGCGTCTCCAGTGCAGGGAGATTCGCTGGGATAAACCCGCCATCATCGGTGTTAAGAGAGCGCCATCTCGAGGAATGCCGCTTCAGTAGATTTGTTAGGCCTTCGACACGGGAGCTCTCCCCCCCAGAATGCAGGATGATATCCAAGGGCACAGCCTTAGAATACTGGAGGGTCAAAGCGAGCAGGGATGATGTACGTGACACGTCTTGTTATGGATATTGGGTATCCACTAATTCGGTGCATGAGTCAACACATGCCCGTACTCGGCCTTCTCGGCCCTAGTAGTGACTCGCTCGTACTTTCTCTTATTTTCTCTTACTTTCTCTATTCCTCTTACTAATACTAGAATATTATGGAGCATTGTAGAATAATAATGACTTGATCCTTTCCTTAGTATATAAACTCGTAGGTAATATTGTATTGAAAAAGCTTTTACCAATCTACCACTTCAGGACACCTTCACTGCGTGAACCCTCAGCTACGCCTAGCGCTTTCTGAACAACTCGTTGGATACGCCTAGCGCTTTCTGACACCAACCCGAAGGTTACGCTTAGCGCTTGCCTTCACCCACGGCCCGTAATAGCTTCGCGCTTACAGGCTTTCTATATCGGTAATTGCTCCGTGCTTACCGGCTATTTCCCTCAGTAATTGCTTCGCGCTTACTGATTTCCTTTATTTCGCAAACCGGACCTCTCAGGTCTCCTCACGAACCCTCGCCGGAATCCATTATATTCCCTAACGACGTACATCATTTCTAATTAATCATACCTCGCTTCGATCATCACTCCTCGCCTCGTGCTCGCATCTCCGGATTTCGGCAGATCCATAACACGTCTAGGCTCCCGGATAGACTCCGATGCAAATCCCAACCATAGGAACAGCCCATCCTCATCGTGGACCAGTGTCGGGGTACTGGCAACAAGGTGACGCCATGACGCACATACACCCATGAGAACGAGTGGTGTCCTATTTTTGAACGATAAGCCGTCTAACTCCAACTCGCGGAATATTAACAAGAGCAGTTCTGGTGGGAGGCGGCGGATTGGCGCGTGCAAAGAGTCGTATTTCTGGAGTAGGAGTCTGGAAAAGTGGACTTCAGTATGGAGACGGGCGATTTCTGATTCGAGCTGGAGGATACGGTCCAGTCTGAGTTGGATGGAGTTGTTGATGCTGTTTATATCGAGTGTTACGTGGTCTATCGTGGTTTCATCGAAAGAGCTGGGCGAGCCCCATGTGCGCAAAAGGCTGGCGATATCGGCTTTAGGAGTGTAGGATGATTCGCAGCTAGACATTATAGACCTGACAACATTTTAGCTGATGCTTTACAGAATCCTCGTGACATACAATGGAGAAACCGGCGATAACGATAACAAATTTTTAACAAGGCCAAATTACGTGTTCCTAGCGCTTGATAGTTATCTATGTATTATGAATCAGTGACTGAAGGGCAGAAGAAACCAAGAATCGTACGGTGTAAGGTTCTTTGGGTCGGAGAAATGAACGGCCTGCTGCCTCGTTGTTCCACGCTACTTCTCTCTTTGAAAGCTGAATACCGCAGTTCATTCAGTTCATGAACCGGTCGGTGGTCTTCAAGAGAATGTTGGCGTCACTGCAGCACTGGTGGTCATGAAGGTGAAAAGAAAGAAGCGCGCTTTGTTTGTTTCCCTGAGTGCCAAATAAAGCGCGTGGCGGGCCCGTGCGCAGTGTGCACATGCGGTGTCTGGGGTACCTTGGTCCTTCAACACGCTTCGATCAGGGGCTTTCTCGTAAACTCCATTGGGCTCCCGACTTTACTGGTCCATCTCGTTCCTTCATTGCCCTATTCCCGTACACCATGGACCCGACAAGAGTCTTCGTTTGGAAATCGGAAATGCAGCTATCAGAGATTAGACGATTCGTGAATGGAGGCTCAGCGCCATCGTTACCTGGTGATCCATACTAGGCCCCCAGAAGCTCCCACCAAACTTTGTCCGGATTTTAGCATATTTTGGGTCCAGTCTCGAGTGAGTGGTTATATCTCGATCCCGGGTACCTGAGGATGTTGAAACGAAGAAGCCCCAGATGAAGCGAAGTACAACGGAGAAACTCGGATGATCAGGCCTGACTTACTCGGACTTCCGCGGACACGGTCGGCTTGCAGCAATGTACGCTGAGTTGTGGTATTCTTTAGATTATAGCAGAATTAAAAGACATTTCTACACTGCTACTGGCTCAGAAACGCTTGATAAGGTTCATTGGGGTAAAACATCAACACCGACTCAGCCCTCGTCACCATAACAAGGTTATGATCCGGTCGTAGGACCTATGGAGCCAATTGCGGGAGCCGTTGAACCTCTGGGTATCCGGCACCTTCGTGGCAAGTGTTCGGCCTATTGCAGGTGGTCGACATGTGCAAACGGATAGCGACGTGCAAATTTCGACACAGCACGGCTTTCTCTAGACCCACAAATAAAATTATTGTGCATTACTGATTATACAACGTTGTTCAGTTGTAACATTTTTAAAAACGAGGTTGTAATTTGTCGATATAGAGTGTTTAACGTTTAACGCTAAAAAGCGGACTTGAGTCTTGAGAAAGCCAGTGATGTAATGATAAACTGAGGAATTGACAATGGCATTGCGGCAGTAACTTCCACGATAGTCAAGAAAATACCATAGTACCATAGTACCACTGAAAAATCACGATACCTGGAGAGTCGACAATGCATAGACTCTCTCGAGTGTCGGAGTCTCGAAAGCATCAATTTTCATTTCTTCATGTACATTTATTATTTTCTAGATACTATGTCAGTTCGGACTTTGTGCCTTTTCTCCTCTTACGTCTAAGTTCGACATTGAACAATCGACTCAACACTGGCCCCGGGGCAATCCGGCGGATAAATAGCAAGGTGCCGAATAGTTGCTCAGGAAGCGGATGATACCGAAGTGGGGGATCGAGATATAACCACTTACTACAAACTCTTTTGGGTCCAAACGTCGTCGAACTTTGTCCGGATGTTAGCATATTTTGGGCTGGCGCTGACGCCATCGCCATGACATCTGAGCCAATATCAGTCCCGATTTGGATTTCTGACTCCTCTCGGCAATATTTTCCTGCAAAATTCCAACGAAAATTCGTAGTCATGTCGAATACAGGTAAAAAAAAAAGGTCCTCAGAGCTGGCGGATATAGCAAAAGCAGACGGCCGGCTCCGTACGGGGCTTCGGCCCGGGAGGCCCGAAGAACCGACTTTGCCCGAGTTAGCATACTTTGAGCCCCAAAAGTTGCATATTTGAGGACCGATTTTCGGATTTTTGCCGGACAAAGTTTGGTGAGAGCTTCTGGGGGCCTTCCATACTATTGAAGTTGCAATTCACCAAAACTGGCGGCTTTCTGACCCGGATCCAGGATCTGGGTCGGCCCAGCCATCCAGGCCAGGTAAAGCAAATAACGACGCGTCTTTGCCTCCTACCACCACCTTCTTCAAGCATTCTTGTTCCACCACTTCTCTTGTAGTAACTCCTGTGTTTTTACCACGCTTTACGGAATGCTTCTTGGTTTTTGTTCAAGTTTTTTGAGTCATAGTGGCCGCCACTTTTTTAGCCAAGTGGTTAGGCGATGTAGGCAGACCTTACTTGGTCAATTACCTTGCATGTGCACTTGCACCTGAATTCACATCGAGGACCGGACTGCAGGCGAATCTTCGTGCATTGGTATGTAAATCACCTCCCAGAACGAATTAGTCTTTCAATGATGTGACATCCAGCTATCTAATACTTTGACTCTACCCTCGTCGTGTAGACCGCTTTGAAGATTACAGTCCCTTCAATTGAAGGGCGAACGACATCCACTACGCGGTGAAGCCAGAAAATGCCAAGCACGTCATCTCGTGGAACTTTAGAGTTCCGAGAGACATTGATAGTGCGGATTACATCGAAACTTGTGAGTGCAAACCATTCTCCTTTTGCGGGCTTTCACTTATGCCATCTTCATGTAGGTACATGGAATATAACCGGGTCCGCCATCACTCAAAAGCTGGTTCCCATTCGAAATCGAAGGACTGTGCGGACTGGAGTTGAACATAAAAGAACTTACCAAGAACGTACAGCGTGAGACCAAGAGTGGTGGTTTGAGGGACATTGAAGTCAACCGTCAGGCCAGGAATCGAATACAGATCTGGGCCGATATATACGCTGAAGGTCAAGAAGTTGTTGCTGAACGTGACTAAGGCGCGTTTCATGGGAGACCAGTTTCTGGAAGTAGAATTTAGACAATGACATGATTGAATCGGAAATGAAGCAAACCTCGGATTCTCCTGGTCATCATCCCCATACCATCCCACAGTATGTGTCGGAACTCAGAGCGACATCGATCTGGTTTTTTATTCTCGGTGTTGATATCCACAGCCAGGATAGACCCCCCTGTGAGCATACTCCCAGTACTGATGCACCCGTAGACTTATCTAGGTCACCGCATAACGTTGTCGCGTCAGAATCTGGGCAGACGATTGTTGACCAGGATTTGAGGCACTATATTTTACGTGCTTTGACGTGTGATTCTTCACTGACGAGGATGTGCGCTGCGAGTCGCCATAAATTTGTTTCAAAGGTCGCATGTTGTACATGGGCCAGGCCGCAGAGAAGAGTGAGAGGAGGGGGTGAGAGAGAGACGGTTACGATAGTCGGAGAGAAAGATGCGTCTTTAGTTGTGCTCCTTTGTCAGCTGAGCCGACTTGAATAAGAGAGATCCGTGAACTTGCTTTGGACTGATAGTGCTGGATATTCGTTGAGCATATTCTCATGAGATTGGGAATGTTCTTAATCAGCATACTGTATCGGCCCCATGTTTCTGCCCTTCAAGAACTTCCCGCAATAAGTCGTAACTCGGTGCACATGGCTACACTATTCTTATTCGTCATCTTCCAGATACCCGTCGCCGCCGGCGGAATTATGAGCACAGTTCTGGCATTCCCAGCTATCTGAATATGGGGGTTCGGCCTCGTTACACGTTGATCCATACAATCGAGCTCGCAGTTCGCGTCAGGGAGATGCACTGTACACGACTGTCAGCTAGAACCGGTGTACACTATATATAAATGGATAGCATCGCGCTCTCTGCAAATTCTTATCAACGCAGTACGGGATTGAGAGGTTTGCTTGGGATGTAGTGCGTCGACCTTGTTTTCTAGACAGAGATAGCAGTATCCGTTGTAACCCCAGATATGAAAGATATTGTAATGGGCCATCAGTCAGGGAAAAGGAGACTCTGAGTTCTCGAAGAAGAAAAAGTAACAATGTTTGACAACGCAGATCGCGTACACTTTCTCATCCAGCGCAATCGAATGCTGCTGGCCTTACGACAGCTGCATAATTTTCTCAGGCCTGAGATCCTTCACCAGCGGTTCGTAAAAGATATCAAACACTGTCTTGTTTGACGTCGTAATATGTTCGCCAGTCGTGCCATTTCCGAGCTCGCCTTTCTCCCTAGAACCAAGGCAAGACATCACATTAGAGGGAAAGGGAAAGGGATAAGCCAAAAAATGGTATGCACCAGAAGGATGGTATCTCTTGACTCAGTAATAATGGGCAATGTGGGTTCGAGCAGACCTCCACCGTTGTCCAGTGATGCGGGACCTTTTTGTCCAAGGAATTTATCTTCACAGCGTGTTAGACGGTGCTAACGATCGACTGGGATTCCCTCGATAGTAGCCGATAGGGAACATGACAAGGCTCCTTCAAAGGCTTGGTAGATGCTGGCGTTAGTGTTGCTACAAGCACAAGGAACGAAAGGGGAAGTAAATTTTCCTATAAAACCGATGTACCCGGGGCCGGCACACACGCAGTGTCCGGCCCGGGCTTAAAGCCGTGGTTAAAAGTCCGTCGTGGGCCTTCCATCTTCTCTCCTGACGCCTAACATGTCTGCCTTCATTGCACTCCTCCCACATTGAACCCTTCCATCACTTTCAATCGCGGATGGCTCTGTTTTATCCTGAAGCTGTATGTATATCTGACGAGTCGAAGTATTTACTGCTTGCGTCTCCCTGATCGAATTATTGCTGACTTCCTGCAGTGTTCATGCCCGCCTGAACCAAAACTGATCGCTGCATAAATCACCTCGCTTTATTAAAAAATGCCGACCGAGTATTCTAAGGTAATACACCACCTTTGCGCTGGATCCGATGGTGAGTACGTCAACCTTCACTCTCCTGTGCATACATCCTCCCTAATCCCACCTGATTGCTTCGAACACAGAACATCTCGCCACACATACTCTGCTTTCAGGTTCAACATCTCGATCCGGATGAGACCAGAGTTCGTATCTTTAGGGATCAATCGGGGATCGGGACTAGTGCTCACCTCAGGCCACTGATGGGCATCCAGAAACCCACGCGCTCCTCACAAGATATCCACGCATGTGATATTGGTGATATCACATGCATGGATATCTGACGAGTTGCCCATGGCGTTTCCTGGTAACCCAGAGTGGCACCACCCAATTAGCATACAGATCCAAATGTGTCAAGGTGGAATATTATCGTCGGAGATGCTGTTATTGATGATCTAACTATACATACTCTACTCGCAGGTTCAACATCTACATCCGTGTCTTTAAGGATCGACCAGTCAGCGCTCAGCACGGGCCATTGATGGGCATGCAGAGATCCATGCACCCCCCATCAGATATCCACGCATGCGATATCGGCGATATCACATGCATGGATATCTAACGAATTGCCCATGCGCATTCTCTGGAAACCCAGAATGGCACGACCTAATTAGCGTACAGCTCTTGATGCGTCGAGGCGGACTATTTCTGCGGGAGATGTTGTTATCGATGATCATATCTTGTTGCATCTCCCGGTCCAAGTCCTAAGCTTCTTGGATGCGCATGGTAATGGTCAATAGGAATGGAAATTAGCGTAGACAGTGCGAAAGTCGTAATTTTGTGAGATGAAGTATTCGAGAGCCGAGTCGTCCGGAGTATATGGTGCGTCGAGTGTCACATTGAGTTCCTTCAAGACTTCGTCAATACCAAGGTCAATGCAGGGAGTATTGACCTGAGCAGATTGTATGACAGACCTTCTACAGACTGTCAGTATAGGACCGTTAACTCGGCACTGGAGCGGCTGATTCTGCTTGATAGGTGGTCTCGGCGAAGGCAGAGAGGGAAGTCTCTCATACTGGACACGAGTCCGTACTTTCTGCAATGCATTAATCCTTGTCTTTCCGTGCGTCTTGAAGTGCTTACCAGCATCATCAAGACAGAGACTCCTCGATCAACTATCCCTTCCCTTGCATCCGGGGGGTTTTCATCCCAGTGGTAGCGGAATGAGAGTACAAAGCAAGGATCGAAGGTCCGACAATGACACATACCAACGTACAGAGATGATGTAGGTTGGTACAAAGCTGTGATAGCACCAAGTGTGCTGTCGTCGTGGTCAGAAGTTAAGCTGTGCGGACTAGCGCCCGGATCATCAAAGTGGGTAACAGACAGCTCAGCATTAACCAGCCTGCCCTGATAGACGTTCAAAGATATCTCGGCGATTAGCTGAAGCGGGCGTCCATACAGCACTTCACACAGTTTATCTGTGAGTGGAAAGAAGCGTAGATAATTGTTACCTTTCATATATGTGTTGATCTGCGGAGAAATAGTACACGGAGAGTGACATAGAGAAGTCAATGGCGGTCAGAGAGAAAGGCGCGTCTTTGTTTGCGCTACTGCCCGGTCCGACCCGGAAAAGACGGTCCGCAACTTCGGTGCTTTCAAGCTCCATTTTTTGCGATCATTCATTGATTCATCGATACATCGTCCAAGCGAAATACGTACAGAAGAAAGTACAAAACCGCCACACGATGTCCTTATCCACTCCTTATCAGTCCGCTCGCAACATAACACAAAAACCCTCCTTCCGAATCTGCGCATTCACCTTCTCCCAGTGCCGCAATCTAAAGTCCAAATTCCTTCAAGGCGTTCCTCGTTTTGAATATCCTCGACATAGCCTCGAACCAGTTCGTCTATGCGTGATACGCGAGTCCCGAAGGCGGGACAGATGAGTCGAATCGAGCGCACCGTAAACGCTCTCCCCTCCAAAATGGTTGATGGGATATGAGAGGAGTCTGTTCAGAGAACAGATGCTGGTGTAGCAGTCGTTGAAGACGAACGTCTGCTGACGCTGGCAGTGAAGGTTGTCAAGGATATCAGCGTCCGTCGCTGGGGTTATAAGAGGGTGTGAGGGCATGAACCACAGGGAAGGATATGTACGCGAAGGTCCGACTTTCATGAGGAGAAAGCGGTCAGGGAGGTATCCTGAGTCCGAACCAAGTAGGATGTGACCGACTCAAAGAGGATGACTAGCCTCATCGCAAAAGGTGAGAAACTGTGTAAAGTCGATGAACACCCATTTGAAGTGGCGGAAGGAGGGGAGCACACGTAAATGTGTGTTGTAGAGTCTACCTTTATTGAGGTGATGTAGGCGAAGGCACCCGAAGAGCGGAGAGAGACGAGCGGGGCTCAAGAAGATGTGCCGATCGAGTCTCGAGCGCAAGGTTTGTCGAAATAAAGCCTTCGAAATGTCGGAACGGTAGGGCCACGGGGAATGATGTGCATGTCACGTCGAGACACTCGGATAGACTCCGACGCAAGCCCAACGTACGAACAGTCTATGCGCACAGTAGACCACAGCGTCAGCATACGTGCAACAAGGTCAAACCTTTCCGCACGAACACCCACGGGAACGAGCGTTGTCTGAATTGTGAACGATATGGAGCCTCGTTCTAATTCGTGAAATATTAACAGAGCAGTTCCAGCGGGAGTGGGGGTTAGAGTTAGTGCACGCAAAGAGTCGTATTTTAGTCCGTGAGACTGGAGGTGTCGACGTGTGTGCAGAGGCGGTGGTTTCTGACTCGAGCTGAAGGATGGCGCTTTTCCGATGCTGCTGACGTCGAAACTGGTAGAGCGATATCTGATGTAGGCGTGTAGAAGGCTTCGTGGCTAGACATTGTATACCTAAAGACGATTTAGCTAGCTTCTTACGGAATGCCGGCGACGTACCATTGACAACCGGCGACAAGTGATTTTTGAACAAGGCGTTCGTAGCGCTTTGCAGTGATCTATGAATGCATCATGGATTGAAGGAGAGAAAAAATCATGAATCTTACAGAATAATTTCCTTCGGGTAGAAGAGACGAATCACTGATAAACGTGGGTGAACAATAGCGTCCGGTGACTGACTCCCTAGTCGGGTTCTTTGATTTGTGCCTTGACTATACGGGAAATGTCTACATATGGTCGTCAAAGCGATGAAGGTCCATCACAGGATCAAAACTCACCGAGAGAGATGCCAGGTCAAATTGCACCGGATTGAACTTGACACAGACGCTTAACATCCTGCAAGAATGATATGAGCTGCTAAGACCAACGACTTGATAAAGTTGCACATACCTCTTGATCCTAACCATTCGTTGTACGGTTCACCGAGCCATACCTGAAAGACTCAATCCCTCCCGTCTTTCGTTTATCGTCTAGATACTGCCACCACGTCTATTCCTACAGCACAATTCGACTACGTCAAGATGCATCGCATCAGAACGAACAGCCACTCTACATTCGGCGAAGCGAAGAGACGGAGAGCGCGCCGCAGTAGCTGTGATGACCAGAACGTGCACCCCTCGGCATGTGGAAAGAGGTGGGTCTTGCCTGCGATCAGTATGTTGTCCCGCCATGCGCGAGAGCCTTCTTAACGCCCTGCACTTCTGCCCTGCCCTGGTCGTCCTCCGTGAGTGTTCCATCCCGGTGGGAAAGCAGTACACCGGCTCGACGAAGAATTCGACACCCAGTCAGCTCATAGTGACGTGGATGTCGCCGTATTGGTCGTCAAGGGAAACCAGTGGAAAGGCGGAGCGCAGGAAGTTGGTTACAGCAGATTGGCCTAGTTGCTCTCTTCACAAACTGGGTACCGTGGTTCGTTCTCTTCATAAGCCGGTCGGAAGTTTTCAAGAGAGAGAAGTCACAGTAGCATGAGTAACATGGAGGCAAAAAGGAAAGAAGCACGTTTTATTTGGTTCTTTGGACGCCAAATACTTCGGGTCCGAATCACGTAGCGGGCCCGTGCACACGTGTTGTTCAGGGCAGAACGTCATTAGCTGCTTCGATCTGTTTCGATCAAGGGTTTCCTCGTAACCTTTATTTCGCTCCCCACTTCAAACTTCACTAGTCACTAGTCACTGGTCAATATCATATTCAATCTTAGGGATGTGCACCGTATCCGTAATACGGTGGATACGTACGGCACATACGGATACGGGTCCGTACCGTTGCGAGTGCGAGACTGCAAGGTACCGTACGGTTCACGGTACGGTGAGTACCCGTAACAACCGTACGGGACAAGCCGTTACGGCCGTATACGGCAGCTGCAACTGATATGAAACCGAAGCCACTTTTGGTACTCCCTTTCCGCTCTCTCATCTGAAAATTGCTTGCCACGGTAATCTGTCGAGTGTTTCAACTTAAATAATTCAACCTGGTACAAGGTACGCCAATTACCTGACCAACCTACTCCAATGAGCCATGCGTAGTCCCCCTCTCTCTATGACAATTTGCATTTGTCTCAGCAATGTGCAAGTTCCCGTCGTCAATCTGTTTTTTTACAAATCAAACCAGTACCGTATCACCTGGCACGATGCAACAAACTCCGGAGTATTAGATGTGCATACCTCACTCATTCCTTGCTTAGGTTCCCATTGTTGTCCACACTCACTGCCACTCTTACGATACAGACCACCAAAATGACTTTGCCCACGCGATTCATGAACACAAGATGTGTAAGTCTCTTTGATTCCCTGAAAGACTTCGAAACTGACTGTTTTTATAGTAGATCTTCTTTTCTCTACATGGAGACGACAATGACTATTAGTATTATGCTGCGGAGAGCATGCAGGTCTTTTGAGTGTATTCTATGACCGTAATACGGCCGTTACATCCGTACATATACCCGTACGTACCGTGAATCTCGCTTTTCTTGCTCCTACGGTACGGACACGGTCCATCCGTATCCGTATCCATCCGTCAGGGGTACGGCCGTATCCGTAACGGTACGGTGCACATCCCTATTCAATCTCGCTTCGAATTTCTAATGCCCTTTCATCCGAAATTCTCCCGCATCGACCTGGCACGAGTCTTCATTCCGAAATTGGGGGGCCAGCTAAGTGTTATCTTCGAGCGACAAATGCCCTGTGATGGAGAATTTGTGAATGTAGTCGAAGATGAGAGGTAAAAGAGTGCGTTCTTCGGCTTCCTCGGCGAAGGTATTCCCTATCCCTGATTGATCCCTGAGACTGATCCTGGCTAATACGATTGCCCTAGGTTATAATCGTAGCATCGAATAAATTAAGCAGCATGACCCTTACGACGGTGAGGGTCCTTGCTAGAGTTGACTAGACCTTGTGGTAAAACATCTTGTCGTTGTATGCAGGATTATTGATCCACAAGTCCGGAAGTGAACACAAGGATACATACGGATGGGACCAAGATTCCAACTCGGGTGTCCTCCGTCTCCCTGCCAGCACCTTCGTTTCGATATGTCGAACCAGCCACACCACCAACATCCCAGACACCCGAGAGGTTGCCTGTATGATCCCACTGTCGCATAGAGGATCGCCATGTATGTTTCTTGTCATAATTGACGAGGCTAATTTCACTGAACGCGAATTATCGCAGCTCAAATTGCAATAATAATCCAATCATCTTATATCCAGTACTATCACTACTGACGAATATCTACATTTGTCAGGACACCGTCCTCGGTCACGAAAACAAAGATGAACATTGCGTGGAAAATTTGCGCCCACGAGTTATTTTATACCTCGACTTCTCATCGAAAGATGACAATATCTTTGAGAGTGAGCTGGAGACGTTCCTGGAGGGTTTATAACGGTATTGGTAAATAACTCTTTCGTTCATGGCCTGCTCCTTGTTCATAGGTGCTCAGGTTATATTGAAACTGCACACGGAGTTGGGTCGCAAAGAATTTCTACCAGCATGGTAGTAATGACAGTTTAGGTAGGCTGCATGCTTAGCTTCTATATTGACCGTATCTACGTTCATTTCTACAACAGAAGCGTGAGAATAACGTCTCGGCATCGCTCCTCACCCGACCCAGGAGCAAACGACGTTTACTTTGCTTGCATGAGTACTATGCTGTCCATCTCCTCGGTAGGGTGCGATACAAAGAATGCATGCCCACCATCCTCGTGGCCAACATCTCGGGGTTCAGATGATCATCTTTGCCTTATTGTTTACGTGTATAGGCTGTAGGTTGTAGGTAAATGCAGTGTTAGTAGCTATTTTTACTCATCTCGGTGCAGGAACTAACAGCATTTGCAAGGATCCTGTGTGAAACGGACTTCTCGCAAACGCACTATTCCCCACTACTGTGCGATCTTCTTGATTCCTATCGACGATTCATCCGCAGGTACCGTAACTGTCTCGTTCATTGCCGTTGCAAGAGCACCAGTATCACAAGACGACGAGAAAGACGCTTACCGTTGGTCTATGGGAGCATTACACGGAAATTATGGTATTGAAATTTGCCGGTTCCATCAGACTCGGCGTCGTTATGTCCATCTGCGATGCAGTGATTATTGATCACAGCGAGTACCTGTCCCAGGACGGCACAGCCGTTCAGGTGATAGACTGATACCCTTTTTTCAATCCTCAGCCAGAACTTATGACCATTCGAGAGCAGATACATCATGCTCAAGTACAACGATAACGCTGGGTGACGTCTTCGCATGCGGAGATGCTCTTGAGGTATAGTTAGGATGCTATCACATGAGGAGACATAAACGCCGGATTCAATGTGCAAAGCGCTGAATATTTTATTCAATAACTATCATTTTCGAAACTCTTAGCCAACCAAGAACCGAGGTACAGTAAATGGACAAGATTACCATTCTGGATGCAGTTGTATATGGTACATTAATAACCGATGATAAAGATGCAGGCGATGTTGTATAACACGTGCACCGTGTGTTCAGGCACGTTTGCCTAGCGAGTTAGGAAAGAGCAGTCCATGTTTGCTTAGAAGGCAAACGAGTACAGAACACTACGAATTCTGGCTACTTAAATACCATTTTGTATCTTCTAGTACTTTCTTTCTCTTAGTAAATCCTTACTCAGCAAAACTCAGGCTAACTGGACATCGCGCCAGCTCGCACAGCCACAGGGTCATCAATATTCCACAGGCGAGTACCGTGCAATGATACAGCATGAGGACTTACTCGCTTGTACAACACAGCGTCTAAGCTGCTGGTTCTGGGTTTAGGCCAAGAGACTAAAGCTCGAGACTAACTGCGATGTTCCATACATATCCATTGGCGCCTCCGAACTGAGCTCCCATGAGCTACTTTCTTTATAATTGAAGAAGGGAATCAATAAGACGCCAATCCTTCGGACTCGATGTCGCGAGCAGGGTCTATGAAATCTAAAAATATGTCGCCTTTCCAATCATCCGCTGAGAGCGGGGACATAACCGCTGTCAATACATTCGATCTATTTTAAGGATGGCATTAGAAGCCAGACGAGATAGCTGGGGTGGGATGAGAGCGGAATTTGAGCCGTTTTGGATCGGATGAGAACCATCCAATTTTTTCCGCTACGGTGGATATAGCCTCTGCAACTATGCGATGACGAGGTCGACAAGAGCGCAGGGAAATCGGTCTGGGAAATAGATGTCTGGCATCTATTCGGACCTTCGATTCATCACACTATTGTACCTCTACAGCATACATCTACAGAATCGGAAGCAATTCATCATTCGGTGTCTTCCAACATCTATAAATTCCTCTGAAAACAGCACATGCTAGTTGAATTGAAATTTGATCCCACAACCATGCCTGATCCGCCCCCCCACGTCCTCTACACCAGGGAGCTTATCCACAAAGGCCGTGGCTATCCATTTTGGTATCCAGAACCAGATCCTATCGCACCGGATGAGGTCAAGGAAAGAGGCATACATCCTGGAGATGTCGGAATCATTAACAAACATGGAGGCTTCGACTTTCTCTTCAGCATCTTCAGGAATGCTAACGGCCGGGTCGTCGGAAATGCACCTGAAAGCTTTCAGCCGGCCTCTGTATCCGACCAACGAGATGTACAAGTTTATCCGGCGCATGGGAATGTTCTTAAAAGTGAACATGTATCCTGCAGAGAGGTTTCAGTAGATGCTTCTGCTCAAGGTTTACCCAGGTGTGTAGATGTTCATATTCATTATTTCATTTTCTTATCTTGATGATAGCACTGTGGATGCTGGCATGTCCTTCGATGTTAGTACCTCAGATGTTTCCGCAGCAATCTTGTGCCTTCCAGATTATTCTGTGAGGTATGAGGCTGTGAACGAAGCCTTCTTCGAAGACTACGCCCGACAATATGGAGTATCATGGTACAACCATGTCAACGGAACCTTGCGTCGGAAGGTGCAAAACGGTTTTTTATATCTTATAACTGGGTGTGACAAAACAAATACTTGGGGGAACGCAGTCGTCAGCAGGACAGATCAGTCATTCACGTTTTCTCTGAGGTGTACATTGGCAAATGTGGGTGGGGTAACAGTTAAAGTTGCAAACTCGTGGATCGATGATGCTGGAGTGGAAAATGGCTTATTCCCGATTCCTTCCGCCCACTACCCTTATCCAATAGGTCTTCAGAACCAGTGTGTATTTGCACGTGGTTTTACCATTTCGCTTTCAGAAAAACTGTTCCGCAAAACTTGGCGGGCAGTTCCTCATTCCATCAAAGGCTCCTCCGAAGATAGGATTCCCTCTTTCGATAGCAAGGCATCACCTCTCCCGCCGAGCGATGGAAGGACTGGATTTTCGACTTATCTTTCCTCGTTCATTGGTTCCAAGACGGTACCGAACAACTCGGACTCAGATCAGAGAAGGGTGATGGCAGAGAGCACTGACTCCCATGGGTCGTTTGCCGTAGAAGTATCTGAATTTCCACCTGGGGGAAACTGGGTGAGATTTATGTTGACCATTTTCGGTACATACTGAAACCAGTCTTACATTCAGACCTTGAATCCTTCGATGGTAATGAATGAATATCTGTTGAGCAAGGTAATTATCCATAAGCAACAATTCATGTTGATATATAATATTCCTCATAGGACCCTTCCCTCGAGATAGTAGTCACGCATGACAAAGAGTGGATGTACGTCATGGAAAAGTACGAGAAGGATACGTACTTAACAGAAGAAGAGCTCTGGTGCAAATTAAAAGATTCGTTGGATGTCAAGCTGTCCAGCAATGTTAGCGTGCCACCAAAGCTTCCTTCAGAAAGAATGTCATCAGGACAGGTTGAGTGTCTATCTGTTACCATAGAAGTTAATACTGATTAGTATTGGTTTAGCGCTTACGCCTCAAAGATGAACGTCAATTTTGGGCCGTTCTCATCGGTATTGACGCATATTCAACCACTCCACTACGCGGTTGTGTATCGGATGCAAGGGAAATGGCCAAATATCTGATCGGAGACCTCGGTGTCCCAGAAGATCATATTCAGTACCTTCTGGGTGCCAGCTCACCGCCGTATTCTCAGTCAGATGATGGCTACATCCATTCTCCTGAAGACTTCGTACAAAGCTATCCCAACGTTGACTCCGAAGGCAACGATTCCTCCATCCCCACCCGTGATAATATAATCAAAACACTTCTTGGTTTATCTACTGACGACCGGATACGGAAAGGCGACAATATTATCATCTACTTTGCCGGAAAGGGTTCAATCTACCTTAATAGGGACTATTTCCCCAAGGGTACTCTTGAATGGTACGGAAGCAACATAGCATTGTGCCCCGTGGATCGCACTACTCCCCATGATAATGGTGTCGGTGTCATCCCCGACATTAGCGATCGAGAGATAAATATCATTCTCAGTGAAATTGCTAGCACTAAGGGATGTCATATCACCGTCATTCTTGACTGCTGTCACTCCTCAGGTGCCACCAGGGGTACCTCTGGGTCTTTACCCTGGTACCATGCCGACCCACCGCCGTCTACTTCTGAAGGAAAATCGGTTCCTGATGTGGGGTCCCACTCCTCTGGTACCACCAGAGATCTGAGTGCTGAGCGCCGCGCCGCCCCTCTACCGTATCCTTCATTGAAAGATATGTTTGACGCTGCGGATAAAGATTTACAGAAGCATGGGTCTGTGTATGACGAAAAATGGGTCCCTGATATGAAGTCACACGTTGTTCTAGCCGCATATCAAGGGTATCAACCCGCAAAGGAGCGGAAGGGACCGAACGGATACAACGGGGTTTTTACGCGAGCACTCATTAAGGCTCTCAAATCGGATGCCTTGAAAGAACATTTGACATATGATGATCTCATTAGGCACATTAATGTTTTGAACAGGTCTTTGAATGTCGAGCAAAAGGCGATCGCCGCTGGGAAACATAAAAATACACGACTTTGGTATCAGGTATGATAGTACCTTTTGATATTTTGTGGTACATCGCTCTTACTCCTACATACACACAGGATTCCAGCGATATCTAATAGCCATATACCATCATTGGCTAGCCGTATTTCGGATCTGGCTATCAACATTTACTTGCATCCAGCATAGCGAAATATACCTTAGTTCGAAGATAGATAGACAGAACCAGACGATAAGAGGTGAATATAGTCATGTATAACATTGTACAGCAGGAGAGACGCAAATGCAAGGCAAAAGATACCTGCAAGGATTTATAGAACCGGAAGGAGATAAGATAAGAGTCGAGTTAAGGGTTGCACGAATGATTCTCTTAGGCCGGGAGAGAGCTGCGTCGAGGGTTGGTTGGTGAGAGTGGAGGGTTGTGCGGAAAGGCGTCGGGGGTTGGCAAGAGTAAAATCCAGGGTTCGTTTCAAGGGGTATAAGGTTGGGCGAAAAAAAAAGACAAACCCTAACGTAGAGGGTTGAAAAAGTCCGCATAGATCCAATCGAAGAAATGCGTTACAGCGATATTGACAACTGTGCGGTACTCAATGGACATTTTGGGTGATACATACAAAATAACATATAGTCCATGGCCCATCAGGATAGCCCTACTGCTTCATCTTTGTTGCACTCGCCTTCTCATCCCTACTCGGCGGTGCCTTTCTTTTACCTGAATCCACATGAACATTAAGCGTCGTCCGACAGGCGCACCGGTACACGATACATTGTGAGCAGAACCATTCACCCCCTGCCACGGCCGTCAGAAGCGGGGGTAAGGCACGACAGATGATAGATGATATGGATTGTCGCACTAAATCACTCATATCAATCCTGGAGAAGGGGGAAATTGAGCGGAGACGTGCCTTATCACACTCTAGTGCCTCTTCCTCGTCCTCCTTCTGGCATATGACACGGCCGTACGCTGGCTTCAACCTTCAACAGAGTGCCGCGGTAGCTCGCTCATCTTGTCTGATGGCCAAACGAGGATAAGAGTCATATTCCGTCCCAGCACGACAGACAGCACGTAGAGAGCAGCTAATAATTGGTTCAGAAACGAGTTCACCTATCGAAACGTTAACATCAAGGTTAGTAGGGAACAAGTAGAGCTCAGACCAATTGCAGCATTCTTTCCCCCCGTGAAATAGTCTAACACTCTCTTCCTCGTCATCTGGTGTCGAGGCCAGGCAGTGGTGATTTTGCGGCTCATAATGTCGGACATGTACTGGAAGCATCTGGAGGATAAACTTGACGAACCGTCTCCAGAGTTTTTCCACTACGTGTGATTGTTAGTGTCAGGGTGCAGGCTCGAAAGAGAGTAGACAAACCTTGCTCGTTATCCAGTATATTCCATCCTTATCTACGGGGACGGAATTTCTGGATCTGGCTGTAACGAGCATGGTTGCATTGGCACCGGTGAACTGAGGGCAGTGCTTGAGACGGAGTGCATCGACATGGTTGCGTAGATAGAAACAGCGACACCTGATGTAACCCCAAGAATGAACAGTACTGTAATTAGTAGTCAGCGAGAGAAAATGAAACTGCGAGTTCTCAAAGAAGAAAGACAACGGCAGACTCTCAATTAGGTGAAGGAGCGGTCCTCGGTCTAAAGAGGATGTCGTAGAATGTAGTGGCCGCAGCGAAGAATGGAATGGTTCGAGAATGAGAACGACATGGATGATGTACCCCTTCTCATCCAGCGCAATCGAATGACCTCAAATTGAGCATGCCGTCCACAATCGCCTTTCTGACGACGGGATCCAACTGGTTGATGGGGCTTGAGAGGAGTTCTGACGAGAAAGCGAACGATGGTGTAGCCATCGAAGCTGAGCGTTCGTACACGAGGGGGAAATGACCATTGTTCAGGATACGAACATCCCTTGGTGTGGTGGCGGGGTGTGACGTGGATCAAGAGTAAGGGAGTGAAGCACAAGGGAGGATATATGTGTGGGAGTTAGAGTACTTGGGCGAGGAGAAAGGATCATGGATGCTATATCTGAACTGGGTGGGTTGTTACAGACGAAACCCTGCCAGTCAATATCGTCGAGGAGAGTTATAAACCACGCAGAGTCGCTGATCGCTGACTCGAAGACCGGAGAGAGGCAAGCAGAGCTGGGAAGACACCGAAATCGAGCTTCTTGACCCCAAGGTTTGTTGGAATACAGTCCTCGAATGCCGAGGCGGCAAGCCACAGCGATGACACGTAACATACGAGACCTATCTATTCGCTCGGATATACTCCAATGCAAACCTGAAATGCGCACAGCTCGTGTTCATCGTGGACCAGTGTCGGGGTACCGACAACAAGGCTACGCATCCATGGGAACAAGTGCAGTCTGAGTTTTAAACGACGTGGGAGCATAGTTGGGGAACACCCATGGGCGAGTGCTACCTAGTTTAAAACAATGTGCAGCCTATCGCACCCTCCATGAGAACGAGTACTGTGATTTTTGAACGACATGGGGGATATCAGATTCTCCTATAGAGAACGATGGGTCGGCGCGTGGAAAGAGTGATGTTTACGAGGGTAATCCTGGAAACGTCGTCTTGGGTGTGTAGGCGGGTGCGATTTCTGATAATGGAGTTATCTAGCCGGCATTGGGGGAACCCGTCAATGTTGAGCCTTGGTCATTTTGTCAAAAGAGCTGGGCGGGCGAACACGTTGGGAAAGGGAGGCGATATGGACTTCAGCGATACAGTAGGCTAATGCGATGTCGTCATAAACACCTGATAAAGATTTAGCCAGTTCGTTGAAGATTCCTGGCGAGGTATGATTGGCATACAGTCCAAGACCCCTTGCATAGGAGAGAAGATCGGCCTATAAACGGGGATGGAGAAAGGCGCCTGGCTGTCGACTCCTTGGTCTTGGTTCTCGATTCGTGCTCTGACTACATGTAGTCGTCAAAGCGATGAAGGCGTATCAAAGGTATAAAACTCACTGCGAGTGGCGCCAGATGGAATTCCGTCAGTTTCAACCCGACAAGGACGCATGACATCCTGCAAGAATAGCATGAGCTGCGTAAGGCCAGCGACCTGACAAACGATCACGTACCTTTTATCCCGTAACCACTTGATCCATAGTTCACCGAGCACGCCTCGAATATCCAACCTGCCTATCCTTCGCTTACAGTCTAGATGCAGGCGACACGTCCATTACTACAGCACAACTTGAACTAGTCAAGATGCATCGCGTCATAACACGAAAGGCCTCTATACGTTCATCAAAATGATGAGATCGTGGAGGTGTGGAGAGCATGTCGGCAGGACACGGCATGTGCATTCTCCAAGATGTGGAAAGGGTCAGTCTTGTCTGATCGGCGGATCATTGTCCTCTCAGGGGCGGTGTCCTCGCTAGTGTACATTCCCTCCGTGTTGTCCTCCTTATGTATTCCATGCTGGCGGGAAAGCAGTACACCGTTTCGGTGAAGAATTCGACGCCCAGTCAGCTCATAGTGACATGGGGGTCACCATATTCGTGTTCAAAGACAACCGGTCGAAAGCTGGAGGGCAGGAGCTTGGTCATAGTCTTCTACCTTCAAAAGCTGGATATGGTTCGTCCAGTTCATAAACAGGTGAGGAGTCTTCAAGAGAATGCAGATGTCATAGTCGTATGAAGACAAAGGAAAGAAGCGTGCTTTGTTTGGCTCTCTGAGTGCCAAACAAACCCAGGGCGTGGTGGGCCCGCGCGCAAGTGGTGTTCGGGGTACCTTCGACACGCTTCGATCAAGGACTCTCTCGTAACCTCTATTGTGCTCCCCGCTTTACCTGTCCATCTCACTTCCTCGTTCCCGGAACATATTTTCGATGGAAAGTCTACACCGTGCTGACACCATGGACCTGACACAAGACTCCGTTCAGAAATTGGCATAGCTCCGGTATTAGATTCAGCAGAGATGGGTTGATTCTGCAAGAAAATCAGAGGGTGGTGCATCATTTCCATTCTCATTGTAAGGTTCTGATGCTGCAGAAGGTTTCTTATTCCGAATCTATGAACAAGATGAGCTGGAAGTGTGCGCCCAGATGATACGCCTCATACAGACGTCTTCTTGCGGAAGCCCACCGACATCACTCGAACTAATCTCGACGGGCAATTCTTCCCAAAGGGCTCCAGAGGAGAACCTCCAGTTTGTCGAGTTAGTCCCTTTTAGTCGATACGATGATATGATTCTCATCTCGCTTTTCGATAGTGTGCTGCAACGAATTAATGGAGTGCTACGTCAGTCTCGTCTTTGGTACATGACTGTTTGTTGCCACCTTTCGGCTTGACGACTACTTGTCTGACTTACGATTCAGACTATACTGGAATTCTAAACTGCCGTGTTTTTTTTTATTTTCGTGTGCACATGAACCGAAAAACAAGGATTGGGATGGAACAGCGCTACTTATAGCCGAATGTCGTGCTCTGTGCTATTTCTTTGATCAATCGGTGGTATGAACTCTCACGCTCAGACTCGCCGCCTCTTGTCAACGTTTGAAAGACAGCCATAGGATTCTCGTTCATCTGTCTGACCGCTTGGTTGCCGCATTTCCGTACCACATTTCCTTACCCATTTCCTTCTAATACAGCTAACATGGATATAAAGGTGGTGTTCCTTCGTGGAATTATACCTGTGCACTGGATCTAGCTATGGCTACTAATATTTCACGACACGTTACAAGGGTTTCCTGGAAGCAGGTACCTTTTTGCCATATCTATATCTTTGAAACCTAAAATCAAAATGTGCAACGTCTGACTTTCAAGTTCGGCTTCGGCTTCGTGAATCAAGCAAGTACCCTTCACGTTTGTCTCAATTTCGCATTTCCTTAGGCGGCCTTTCTTCCTCACCAGAGATTGAAGCTTTGCAGAACGATGTATTGACATGTAAGTACGACGTCGTTTCACTTGTTTTTCTTGTACTTATCATCATCGATAAGGTATTTCGACCAATGTACATCAACATTCCTGCGTTTCTATCCCTGCCCTTCGCTTCCAACACAGCCTGATCAGACCGTTAAGAGCATATACGCTTCTAACAATGCTTGTATGCGCCCCCATCCGGTTCAAATCTCGAATGAGGGCTAGGATGGCTATCACCTTTACCACCTTGTACGCGTATCCAGTCAAGGGTAGTCTTTCGTTTACCAGAATTAGCACTCGAGTAAGAT